AACAGCGAAAGGCGTTTAGTTTTTATTGCTGATATTTCTGCTTGGTCCTCCCTTCATAACATTTTGTGACTAATCAAAAACTCGAAAAAACGAGTAAGAGAAAAATATCTTTTGAAAGCAAACTTTATTGGGCTTGAGACTCTCTTTCACTTGGTAATTTGGAGAAAACAGTCGTGCTAGGATCGTTGCAACTTTGCCTTTGGGTACCTTGCTGTTGACCCAGCACAACTTGTGAAGACTATGTAATAATACGTCAGAAGACAATAATATGTTGAAAAAATTGAAATATAAAATATATGACGTTGAAGTCAGCATTACTGCTTAGACTTTTGCACCATACTTATTACTGGTTGGAGTCATTATCAACATTTCCAAAAATTAATAAAGTTTGAGAAATTTTGAACCGTTCTGACCAAAAGCGGTTACTCTGTCTGAACTGCACCCCGTGATTTTCTTCCCACGCCTCGAATTTTCTGCTACCGCCATTGCTCTTGACGAATTGGCAAGATTATGTTATATAGGTGTGGATGGCTTTAGTGCTAAGCGATTACCATAATTTGTCGCAAAATTTTGCTTTAGTGATTTGTTACCACAATTAATCTCACTTTACAAATAACTAAAAATCTTTTGTATGAAAGCCGTGTCATCGCAAAATGTTGCCTTTAAAATCGTCATAGGTCCTTTTCATTAACAGTAGTTGTACCTGCTGAAGAAATCTTTTAAGGCAGCGTAGTTCTGCGCTGCAGTCTGATCATCGTTAGCATTGATGTAAGCGTCTTGCGTTGTATCGTACGAAAATCCCACTCCGATGGGAGATTCAAGATAGAGCACATTTGCTTTCTAAATATGGCATTATGAGCTTAGATGGCTTTATAACCCACCTCTTACCGCATTCCATGCATACACGTTTTCGTATAGGGTTGCACCATCGAAGTTCACATAAAAAGAGCCGAGCTCTTCAAAGAGTCCTAAAAGGGACGAACATCCCGGTCCTCCATTGAACCAAACCAGCAATGGATCATTACTCGGAGAAGAGCGCGACTCAGTCAACCTAATACTTAAACAAATGAGTGGCATAGACATTTTGCTTATAAGTAGGAATTATCGCAAAAATAATTCCATTTTCATAAAATAAGATACAAACATGCCTAACCACGGAAGAATGGCATGCTGCTTGAAAATATTTTAAAAAATTAATAGATATTTGACACATGATATGATCTTTACTTCTAGAACATAAGAATTCTAAGAAAAGCTTTCAAACAACTTTATAAATGTTTTGAAAAATTTCTTCAATAACTATCTTCACTCAATGCCTTTCTGAAAATTACTTA